TAAATAAAGAATGATAAGAGAAAGATAAATAAGAAGAAGAAGAAGAAGAAGAAGAAGAACAAGAAGAGGAAGAATTTTATTATTACGTGGTTTTTTTTCTTCTTTTTTTTTTTATTATTATTATACAATGTGACAAATTAATTTACACACTTTTGTTCTGCTTCGTTTCATTTTCATCGTTTCCCGTTGTACACGTAATTTCATTCCTTGGAACGGAATACTTAACAATTCTTTTTTTTGGACGGGGGAGAGGGAGGGGAGTGGGAGGGGGAGGGGAGGGGAGGTGGAGTTCTTTGAGTGAAGTAGGAAATTTGCCAATTATTTTTACCCGTGTCTCGTTTTTATCAATGTATTATATATTTTTTTTTTTGTTTTTTTTAGTTATTGTTGTAAGTATGATTTTTTTTTTTTTGTAAGATTTCATCGGTAATTAATTAATTAATTTGTATGGTATGTAAAAAAAGGAAAAGAAAAGAAAAAAGAAAATATATTATCGAAATTGTTGTTGTATAACGCGTGCTAATCGTAACGAAACGATTGTACCGGAACCGATCTTCCTTCTTCTTCTTCTTCATCTTCATCTTCATCTTCCTTCTTCTTGTTATTCTTCTTCCTTCTTCTTCTTCTTTTTCTTCTTTTGCTTTTTTGCATAGATAGAATTCACTCACGCTCAAAGATAAAAGTTGTTCGTTCTCATTCGGCCGTGACTTCGAACAGAACGTGCTACGTTCTTAAGTCGTCCAATCACCGGGCGCCATATCCTGTCTTTCGATCGGCTCCTTAAACGGTTCTTCATTTTTTTTTTTTTTTATTGTTTCTTATTTCTTATTTCTTATTTTATCCTACATTGAAAATGTTACTACAAATATCTAAGGATGGATATTCGATTGTATGTTTCATATTTTGCAATTTTGTTATTCATATTTGTTATTGAGTGTATATATATATATATATATATATATGTCTACTCTAATGTTGAATTTAGCCACCAGATAGCGGTATTCAAGTGTTACAGATCCCACGTGACATCATAGCAATTCGACCTATCTACTATAATTTTCAATTTAGCCACCAGATAGCGGTAATTCAATTACTAAAGATCCCAATACATTAAAAAAAAAGTGAACATCATTCGACATTTAAAAAAAAAGAGACTGAATTTTGACTTCATCGACCAAAAAGAAATCAACTTAAGTTAAAATAAAAGAGAAAGAGGTGAAGAGGAGGAGGAGGAAGAGGAGGTGGAAGTGGAAGAGGAGATAGAAGTGGAGGAGGATACACAAGCAACGGAACCAAGGTCAACACTGTTACACCTTCCTTTTTATCGGCTCGACGAAGCAGGTCCAAAGGACTAGTCTCTTCTCTTCCACCTTCTTCTTCCACTTCTCCTCATACCATCAACCTTTTCATCCATCCATCCATCCATCCATCCATCCATCCATCTACCCATCTATCCATCTATGCATCCATCCACTGAAGCAACAAACCTCATCCCCACTACTAGGATCTACCAACAGGCAGCAAGAGAACACACCATCATCATCATCATCATCATCATCATCGTCGTCATATCCATCTCGGTATAATGGCTCGGGCGTTTACTTTTTTCGGATCTCTTACAATACCCATGGAAAGGTAGAAAACCGGTTTAAAGTTTAGAAGGAGGTACAACACACCACCACCACCACCATCACCACCACCACCATCGTGTAAACACCACGTCAAATGCACCGAATTTTCCCTCCTACTATTTTTATAATATTTTTTGTTTAACATTTATTATTTATTTATTATTTTTATTATTTATTATATAATATTTATTATTATATATTAGGTGAACTAGAGAGTAATGGTCGCTTATTAACCTCAAAATTTGAAACAAATCAACTTTTCAAACGAGTTTTTATTATTAATCAATAATTAAATTAATTAATAACATTATCGACAACCATTTTTTATCTGATATGCAAATTTTTAATATCGTAACGATAAAAATAAAAAAAATTAAAAATATATATTAGAAATGATTTGACATGCGTAGTTAACGACGACATTACGTCATAACATTACTAGTCATAATTTTTATCTAAATTATTTATTTAATAATTTATACAATTATTTTATTGAATAATATTACAATAAATTAAATAATAAATGATATTTAAATTTAATAATTGTATTTATTTCAAAAAAAAAATAAATAAAACCCTACTCGTATTTGGTACACTCTTATACAAAAATAAACTGACACGACGTGACATTACTAGTCATCATTGTTATCTAAATTATTTATTTAATAATTTATTCAATTATTTTATTTAAATAATATATTAATAAATAATATTTAAATTAAATAATTGTATTTATTTAAAATAAATAAAACCCTACTCGTGTGTGGTACACTCGTATACAAAAATAAACTTTTCTTATAAAAAGAAAAACAGTATCAATCCAAAGATCCTTGATCACTTTTCAAAAGCAATCTAATGAACTTTCTTCTTAAATAATTTACACAAACATCTTACCCCCCAACCCTCAACCCCAACCCCAACCCCAACCCCCAGGTATAAAATAAATAAAATTTTTTATTTTTATAGTTGAACATTAGCAACAACAACAACAACAACAACTTGGAACGTTGATATTATGAACGTTATTACCCCCCCAATCCCAATCCCAACCCCCAGGTACAAAATAAATAAAATTATTTATTTTTATAATTGAAAATTAGCAACAAAAAAAACTTGGAACGTTGATATTATGAACGTTAACGTTTGATACGTCGTCTAAAAGGCGACGATGGAAAGAATTCTCGTGAAAACCGGTTTCACGTTAGTCCTGTCTTCGTTGTCGACGTTGGTCGTCGTCGTCGTCGTCGTCGTCGTCGATGAAGAAACTCAGCAACTTTAGTATAACTCTGATTATGATCTTTCTTGTCTATCCAAAAAGAGTTGTAGTCTCTCTCTCTCTCTCTTTCTCTCTCTCTCTGTCTGTCTCTTTTTCTCTCATTGTTTTACTTACATTTGTTGTCTTTCTCTATCACTTAAAATAAGAAGAAGAAGAAACCACGTGCCACGCGTACTGTGTTCTACACCCATGTATATATATATATATATATGTGTACATGTGTGTGTGTGTGTGTGTGTGTGTGTTGTTCACAACGTGAATCGCAATTGAAAATTATTTTACTGTATTACATTGGTAGTATATCTCTTTTAAATTTTTTCATTGAATTATTCAACTCGTATATCATTGTTCGTAGAAAATAAATTTACAAAAACCAAAAAAAATAATAATAATAATAATACGAAGAAAAAAAAAGAGAGAGAGAGAGAGAGAGAGAGAGAGAAAAATCGATGTAATTTAAATGAGAATTTACGAACGTTTCGTGTATGATTTTGTCTTTCTTTCTTTATACAAATGATAAATATACTTCATACGTATAATAATAATAATAATAATGATAAAAAAAGTGAGAATAAAAAAAAACCGTAGAAGAAATAATTGCATATCTCGTGAGTTTCATTTCGATTCATTCAAAGTCCCTTATCAAGAAGAATTATTATTGGTTCTAATGATACCAGCAAGATGAAAATAGCAAATATGCTGATTTTATACGTTTTGAATCGTACTCTTCTTCTTTCTTCTTTCTTCTTTATTCTTTCTTCTTCTTCTTCTAACAGCATGTATTTATATCGATGAACTTGAGTTGTTTCGTGAAATATATTGAAAAAACGAAAAACATATAAGAAATAAACAAACTCGATGAGCGATATAAAATGACGACGAGTGGTGTTTACCAAACGAATGAAAATATTTGATCGAAACATGTGTCCCCTTTGAACGATATATATATATATATGTATATACAAATATAAATATTTTTATGTCAATTAAAATTTAATTAAAAAAAAAACAGACGTGTGTAGATCACACACGGTAGAGAAGTGAAACCTTCAAAGAATACCAAGCTATCGAAATAATTGAATTGTAATACAGTGCCATCTATTGAAAGAATTTTACAGAATCTTAAATAATCTCTAAATAAAAATCTTTCAATTAGTAATAAAAAAAATAATAAAATAATATAATAAAAATTGTGCTATGTGCTAAGTTGGAAAAAATCACGTGAAATCAAATCAATTTCATTTAAGATAAATTGAGTCATTTCGAAATTATTAGTGGACAAACATATTGTGACAACTGAATTTTTATATATATAGAAATTTGATTAATTAATTAATTAATTAATTAATAAAATTCAATATATATTATTTAATTTTATATATTTTTGTTTCTTAGAGGTTTTCACGGTTTTCTTCCGTTTCACGTTCTTTCGTTTCACGATTTTTCAAATCACCCTGATTATTCTAAAGAAGTTTTCACTTCAAAAAAAAAAAAACAAACAAACAAAATTGTTCTTGCAAATGTAATCTCAACGACGACGACAATTATTACACAACTACGTATAAATGTATGGCATGCATGCACGTATATATATATATAATCCGAAGGATTACAAATTAAAAAAAAAATAAAGTGTAGAGTCAAGTAAAAAAGATTAAAAGGGACGAGATTCTTTCAAAAAAAAAAGATAAAGGAAAAAGGGAATATCCTATCTAAAAGAAATTTATATCGTGAGAATAGTTTTACGAGTTGGAATATTTGGAATATCTTCCTTCCATCCCTTTGGTCAAGGGGGAAGATTAAAAAAAAAAAGGGAAAAAAGGAACTCGAAAAACTACTTTTAAACCATTTACACCTTTTTCCATTTGAAATCCTGAATAAGATAAAAGTGTGTGTATCTAAAAAAAGGGGAGAAGAGGAAATAAACCAACCAACCAATCGTCTAACGGTTGTAACAGGGTATCTCGGATGGGAAGATAAAAAAAAAGGTGCAGGAAAATTGAAAACTGTGCAAGAAGATGGTAACCTTGTAAGGTGTCGTTGACCTATTATAAACAAAAAAAATAATATATATAAAAAAAAAATTGACTTACCGGGTCTGATGGCTTGAACATTGTTGTTGGCAACGGATAAAAAGCTCAGTAGTAGGACGAAAGCGTGAAAAAGTATGATGGTGGTAGTATTGGTGGTCCGATTGAGCCGTAAAGTTCTTTGGGGTCTATAGTCCGTAGTAGTAGTAGTAGTAGTAGTAGTAGTAGCACATCCGGAAGCAGCACGTTCACCACCAGAAAAGACGGTGCGCGGCCGCCGTGGCACCGGCGCAGCCACCGCCATCGCACACCTCCGTGTCGTCCTCGTTTTTCCTCACCGCACACTCTCCTCGAACACACAGAGACAACGGCGACGACGACGACGACGACGACGATGAACGATGAACGACGAACGACCGACCCCGACACGAATGAGCAGCACCCCACTTTTCCTTTCCCCGTTTGAATAAAGAAAGAAAATTCCGATCGAGGGATGAAACGAAGCAAAACGAAATAAAACGAACTAACGAGAGAGAAAGAAAACGGGGATGGTTGGTGGAATAATATATTATCGGTGAAAAAAAAATGTTCACGCGAATCGAAAAAAGAATCCCCGAAAAAAAAAAAAGAAATCAGAGGAATAAAATATGAACGTAAATTTTGTTCTATGTCACACACACACCCCACGCGCGCGCTCACGCGTATATGCGTACCTGCCTGTGTGCGTATATATATATATATTTTGTTTTCTCCGCTTCAGCCACGAGTTTTCCCGAAAATGTACGATGACGAACGAGCACTATAATGCCGGTATATATGTAATATATTTTACGATTCAAAAAGTAGTCTTTGATTAATACTACAAAAAAAAACTGTCTTTATTTGTCACTGACGTTGTTGCTTGGTGCTACCCTACCAAACGGCAGGTATCTACCTGCTGCTGCTTCTGCTTCTACTGTTGAATACGTCGTTGACCGCTCTTCTCGACAAGGATAGGACTTCAGGTAGGGGGGGAGGTTAGGAGGGAAAATAGGGAAAATAAGCGTAAGGGTGGGAAAGAACAAAAAAAAAATAAAAAGACAAGGAGGAGGAGGAGGAGGAGGAGGAGAAAGAACGAGACACGCGCGACACAATAGAGAAAAAGAGAAAAAGAGAGAGAGAAATTGTGTTTGATGATCGTCCGAGCGAGCCGTCAATTCATGGCTCGTACTTACGAAGTTAACCCGGTCGCGGACAAGAAGCGACTGACTGCTCGTACTAGCCGGCAAACTAACATGGTGACACCGCGCAGCGGCAGGTTGGCCCCGAACCTAGCTACCACCGTCGACCAATCATCGCGCTCCAAAGCCAAAGCGGCTCCGCACCCTCGATGATGATCGGTCGACGATCGACGCGCCGATCGGATATCTTCGCCGATTCTTCTACTATACATACATACATACATACATACATACACGCGTGCACGGTAGCGTGCGCGCGCGCATACGCTACCTACACCTATCCGAACTCATCTATGCTTCTCCGCTTTCCATCCTATACATTACGACCTGTTAAATATTCTTTTTTGTCCCTTTTTTTTTTCTTCTTGTTTAACATCCAGTCTTTTCTACCCCTCCCCACCACTCCTCCCTCTCTCTCTTTCTTCCTTCCTTCCGTTTATCGACATATATTCGAATTATTTCATTTTATCTCCCTTTTTCTTTTTTTTTTGTTTTTATCTGCAAATAAATCAAATAAACAATATGTGAGAAATTGATCCTATGGAATTTGTTAATTATTGTAAATCATTTTACTTACACATTTGTAACACCCACATTCCAAACGTTATCTCATCCCCTATTACACAAATGTCATCAGCACCTAATAAACTTGCAGATCGACTAACAGTGAGAACTTTGCATACATCTGTTGTTACTAATATATATATATATATATATATATATATATCGACGTTGAAAAAAAATATACAATGAGAAAAAGTATGGTAATAAAATAGGTTGAGTTAAGGTAGGTTTTCCCTACAGTTCACAGGTGTAGGGTGTACCTGTTCCTATTTATATACCTGCTTCTTCTTCTTCTTCTTCATACTCGACCATTTCTTTTCAAACGAGTTGGAAATTTATACGTTTCTTTTTCTTCTTCTTCTTCTTCATTTTTTTGTGTGAAAAGAATCTTAAAGAAAAACAAAAAATATAATCATGTTCATTTGTGTTTACTTATTGTTCATGTTATTTTCAATATTAAATCAAATTAAACAGCAAGAAGGATGATTAATTACATTTAACGAATATTTAAAATGCAAATTGATATTGACTTTATTAACAATGCCATTCGTTGTTGTTATTATATTTCTATATACGATCTTTAATCGTTCGACTAACGCCATTGTAATAGCTTTGAAATGAAAGATAAGACCAGACAATCGATGAACGACCACAACACGTTAACTTTTCATAAATTCATATCACGTTCTTCTTATCCACTTGGCAACTTTAATAAAAAAAAAAATAAAAAAAACGCCCATAATATTGTTGTTTATTATGCACATGTTGTGTTCCATCTCATTTTGGTTTACAACAAATATACATATTTCAATCATAAATGCAACGATTCTTTAATATTTACTCGAAAAGATAATATACTTGAGATATAATTATTTTATTTATTAAAGAAGAAGAAGAAGAAGAAGAAGAAGAAGAAGATGAAGATGAAGAAAAAGAAGAAGTAATCAAATGTAATTAATCATAATTGGTAAAATGATAATATTTCGTACGTAATTGGTCCATTAAATTTCCGAACATTGAAAGATTTTCTTTACATAATCTAATAAAGAGAATACGCGATATCTCTGATGAAAGCCTTTTGCATTTAACTATCACATGCATGAACTATAACATATACACTTATACATATACATCTCACCACCAGCACGACGACGACGACGACTACGACGACGACGACGACAACGATGATGATGCTTTTAATGACGGGAAGGACAAATTGAAAAAGTGACGGGGGCGGGATGAAAAAGAAGAAGAAGAAGGAAGAAATAGAAGAAGAAGAAGAAGAAGAAGAAGAGCTTCTCGGAGAGTTACGTCGGACGGAATTTTCCAAATCTACGTGGTACGTGCGGAAAAGCGTATTCACGAGATTTAAAGTGCCACGGAAATGACACTCTTTGATATAGGTATACTACACACGTGACACTTTAATAAAACCGAATTCAATGAACATTTCTTTTTCTTCTTCTTCTTCTTAGATTCAAAGCAAATTCCTACATCAATTCCCCCCCCCCTTTTCCAATTCACTCTTCTTCTCGAGAGGTAAAAAAAAAAAAGAAAAAATAGAAAAATCTGTTCCAGTTTTTCCAAATCGAAAGAAAAGAATTCGTATCGTTACTCGAATCAGACATCAACTTCGATATCTGGGTTATATTCCATTTGCATTTGCATTTGCATTTCTTTTCTTTCCTTTGCATCTCCTCTTCATCAATACATGAAGTTACATCTTTAGAATTGTGTAAGTTTTGTCTATCATGTGTCTAGATTACACGTTGTTGTTCTTTTGCTCATCTTGCGTATCCGAACCAAGTGTTTGTGGTACAAATGAAGACCTAAAAAAAAAAAAAAACAGATACAAGTAGAAATGGTGAATAAGGAAATTAGAAAATGTTTTCAACATACACAGATACAGACACAGACACGCAGGAATAGAACGACAAAAAAATTAAATGAGAGAGGAACAGAGAAAGAAAGAAAGAAAGAAAGAAAGAAAGAAAAAAAAATGGAGAGAAAGGAGAAAGGTTTCTTGTGAAAATTAGTTCCGTCGACGTAAGACCGTAACATCCTTTGAATCGTTTCGTGGCTTCTATACCGTGTGACAGATGACGAGTTAAACGCTACCCGAGGAAGCCTTATATCAGACAATATCTATCTATGTAATGAATGTATATATATATGTATGTGTGTGTGTCTACGTTTATATGGGGAGGGGGATAGGGGAGGTAGGGAATGAAAGGACGAAAAAGAGAGAGAAATCCGGATGCCACGGTGGCTTCGCTTGCATTTCTCTCGTCGGCGCCTTCTTCACGGTACCGCGACATCGCAAGAGACAATAGGAAAGGTCGTGGAGTCCTCTGGCATTTCGTTGGATCTAATAGATATGTTCTAGCTCACGTTCCTATGTATATACATAGATATATATATATATACACACACATACATTGAGAAAGAAAGAAAGAGAGAGAGAGAGAGAGAGAGAGAGAGATGTAAATACTTGATAAGAAACGAAAGAATACATTCAAACACAGAAGAATGAAAGAAGAAGAAGAAGAAGAAAAAAACCATTGCAAAGATCAAATGATGGATCCAAATGGCAAACTGATGAAAATTAATGGGAACCTCGATTGGCCTATTACTATTCCTACACGTTTGCTTATTTTAAATGATAATCCATCGAAATCTTGTATAAATACGTAATAAATTAATCAGTCAAAATTATTAAAATACAAAGATAATTATGCAACAACACAATAACAAAAAAAGAAAGAAGGATGCATAGATTTCTAGTAAAAGAAAAATAAACAAAAAAATTAAAAAATAGAAGAAGTGTGACATATGCGCGCGAGCGCAYGTACGTACGTACGCATGCACGCACCTGTGTCTCTACTAGTCGCGTGGCATGCGTACGTGTATCTGTTTATATGTGTGTATGTATGCAACGACACGAAATGAAAATAAAAAAAAATATATATATATATAAAAAAAGGAGAGGGCGAGAACGTGTGCGCCGGCGAAGGTGCGCGCGCGGATCATTGGAGGGAGAACGAGAAAGAGATGGTACTTTGTTATTTTGCTCATGTGCAAGCGGAGAACCCGGCAAGTTGTGTGCGCGCTCGTGTTCCTTCCATCGTTCGCCATTTGAATTGGGTGTGGGATTGTATGCGTGTATATGAGCATTTATATATGTCTCTTTATATACGTGTATATGTGTATGTATATGTGTGTGTGTGTATGAACGGCCGCCTGGCACGGCCAGGTACCAAATGCCGCAAGGTCATGACTCGAGCATACACACATAAACGATACGATGCTGCGCCCGCACAGCTCTCTCTATCTCTCTTTCTCTCTCTCTTTCTTTCTTTCTTTCATTCTTTCATTCTGTCCTTTTCTAATTCTTAATCTATCTATCTATCTATCTATCTTTCTCTTTCTCTCTTTTATTCCACCGATCTCCATGGAGAACCAATCTCGGGGTCCTCCTCTTACACCAGAAGAGAGTACACCTATGAGAGGGCAACCCATGGAAGGGGAAGAGGAATTACACACGTATATTTACTAAATCTTTGAATGATCGACGCAAGCCTCGAGATTCCGTATATTTAGGTCTCGAAAAGTGCAAGGTATTATACATGTATACGATTTCCAAATCGTACACAATATAAGCAAAGTACAGAGATGATGATGATGATGATGATGATGATGATGATGATGATGATGATAAAAACTTGACGTAAAATGTATTCGTAAAAATACAAATTCATATAGATCCTTGTCTACTTTTTCTTTCTTTTAGTTAAAATAATATTTTGGATATTAAAAATCATTGAAATCTCGTACGTGATCTGTAAATATAATTGAAACATTGAATATATATGAAGTATAAGTAGATTGTTTGAAATAAATTAATAGAAAAATATTCAATGAGACTAGGGATTGACCGTAGAAGCGCTTCATTCAAAAATGTCAAGGATCCAAATTCCGTTATGCGGCCTCGCGTAGAAATATTATACGTCATAGTAACAGTCTGAATTGATAGATTGATAATTGTCACATTAATATTGTTTAAAAATAATCATTTATTCGAATTTGTTGTTGTTGTTCTTCTTCTTCTTCCTCTTCTTCTTCTTCTTCTTTTTGTTCTCCATTTTTTGTTCACCATTTTTCTTCTCCATTTTTGTCCTCCATTTTTTCGCGATATATCTAATTGAAAGTGTCGCATATATTCATTGCATTTACGTACGTACGTACGTACGTACGTGCGAAAAAAGGCAAAACGAAATCAGATTCACCGGGAATGTTCGAAGCACGTATTGTTTTTTTTTTTTTTTTTATTTCGTGTCTCTTGGTTCGCTTTAAAAAGAGACGAGTGCTTGCTTGTTTGCTGACGTCGTCAGAGCAGAGAGTGGTACCGAATGGTACCTTTACATTCTCACGGTGGGTAATCTCTTTGCTGTTTCCTACGAGATTGCACGACGCTCGCAAGAAAAGGTTTTACAAGTTTCTAAACACTATTTTATCATCTTTGTAATCAAATCTAAATGTAAAAGAGAAAAAGAGGAATAATGTAATGATTTGTTTTTTTCTTTTTCAAATTTCAAAAATTCAAAATCATCTACAATGACAAATGAAAAAATGTCGTAATGTTAACTTACGTGTATATATAAATATTGTTACAAATAAATAATCAAATATTGCGTTAATTAATACGTAATACTCATTTTATCCTGTCTAAATTCTAAGTCATGGAGAAAAGAGGTTGACTGATTCATACACACACATTCATAATTATGTTTGTGTGAACGAAAGTCCCTGTTAAATGACAATTACATTTTTAATTCATTTTAAATATCATTGAAATTAGGAACAGGAAATTGTATATGCTAAATATGTTTCAATTATAAAAAGAAAGAGAAAGAGAGAGATTTTTGAACGTAACTTTACCTGCATTTATAAAATATTTCATTGCAATGAGAAAACTATAGTTCAGATGAAATATCAAAAAGGATAGGTTAACGAGCATTATCCAATGAGTTTCCTCTTACCTATCACTCCATCTTCTAATAATGAACAATTATTATTTATCGCAACGTATCGTTTAATCGAATGCATCTTAATGAAATATATTTTGTGCATATGTAAGTCGATGATTTGCAATTTATAAAAATAACGTTCGATTACAATTTTTGCTATTACTACTATGTTATAAGAAACATTAAAATATTACGAAAGGGTTAGTTACCAGAAAACTCGTTTCTCATTGGTTAGATTTGAAAATTTGTTAAGGAATTTACCTAGACTCATTTTGATTGGTTAACTTTTTCTTTGATGCACTCTGATAGCTATTCGTTACGTAATTTTAAATATTGCACGCTCATTCGTTGAATTATATTTTTAAACTCACTCTGATTGGTTAGCTTTTTCTCTGATGCAATTTGGTACCGTTATAGGTCATTCCAAATCTTAGACGTTCATTGGTTGGATCACTTACTTGAATTCACTCTGATTGGTCAGATTATTCTATGATGTATTTTGGTACCGTTATAGGTCATTCCAAACCTTAAACGCTCATTGGTTGAATATGTTTGATAATAGTAGTGCATTGAAAATTACACTTAAATATATTCCCAGGGAAGCAAAGTCTCTCGATGTGCACATGATGTAACGAATCTTCTGGTATACGCTTAGTAGCCATTTTGTTTTCGACGGAAGGGCTGATCAAGGTATTGCATTAAAGATAATTTGTGTTATTTTAGAACATTATAACGATCGATAGTATTAGTGAAAAGATTTAAAAAAAAACTCACGGATAGTTAACTGCAATTGTTAATATTTCAATTGTCAAATAATGACTCGTGATATATGCAATTGCAGATATATCAAAAAGAACTGCTCTGTACGATTAAATACTTTCCAATCGATCCAAATTTTATTTTTAATGTTCTTCGATAATGGATGATAATATCTGTAAAACATTATTATTCATTCACATTAATTTTCTCTACTTGTCAATGATTACGTTGTATATCAATCATAAAAGTCATTTCTAAAAGAATTTCTGTTATAAACATATTTTTATCATATTTTTTTTTGTTTTTCAAAGTAATCAATTTAAATTTTAAATACCCATATATTATAAGTTCTTATCAATTGAATGAACATTCTTTTAATAATACTTCAAATAAGATTTAATATTAAATCAATTTCTTTGAATAGTAAGTAACACTTAATAAATATAAATGTATTACCATTCATAGAAATAATAATTTTCACTATATATATATCTATCTATATATATATATATTAGTATTAAATAACGGATGATATTATATCATGATATATGATGTATATATGAATATATCATGATAGATATATAAAAAAAGAAAAGAAAAGGTTAAAATAAGAATGACAGAGATGTTAAAACATATAAAAAAAAAAAAAAAAAAAAAAAGTACATATAGTATATATTCTCTCGCTCAAAGTCTGCTTGTCTCTTGCAAATGTGTATTTAGAGCCAGTCTCATATAAAAAGGCGTGGTGAATTGGTATAGGCTGTTTACTTATAGAAGGCAGTTTCTATCCTTATAGGTATCCAACTGTCCATACACCCTGGTCAGTGAGGTATTTGAGCTCTTCACCATGGATTCAAAACGGCATGAATGCAGCGCCAGGTCGCAAACAGAATCACCACCTACACCGCCTTCACCTCCCCTGTATAGTACAGGTTATCCAACGCATGACAACTACAAAAGCAGAACAACACGTCGTTCACCTTCTCCTACCGACTACAGGGGCAGTAAATCTTCTCGGAATGAATCGCCACCGGATAGACGAAGACGTAAAAGGAGTACGTCTAGAAGTTCTCCAATTCGATCTCACAGACGGTCACGTTCAAGTGACAGAGACAAAGATCGAGATAGAGACAGGGACAGGTCAAGAAAATATTCACGTAGAGATAGATCAAGATCGAGATCTAGGGGAAGATCTCGTTCAAGGGACAGACGACGTAGTCGTAGCAGAAACAGAAGTAGAGACAGACATAGATACAGGGATAGTCGTAGACATCATAGAGCACCGTCTTATGAATCAGATGCTTTTGAAGATCATTCTGATACGGTTGCGGCACAACAACAACCACCACCACAACCGAATGCTTTTAAAAATGATGGAAGTTTTATGGAGATGTTTAAAAAAATGCAAGAACAAATGCAACCAACGCAACAACCAACAACATCGGTTCTCGAAGAGAAACCCGTAATACCGCCACCATTGATGGTTGGTAAAAGGAGAGGTGGAAGAATTCTTAAAACTGGAATGGTCGCAAAGCCAAAGACTGAGCCAACTACTGAACAACCGAAGGATGCGTGGTCCCTTTATATGGCAGAAGTGAAAAAGTATCGTGAAGTTTGTTGTCAGGAAGAGGATAATACCAGACCATTGGTCAAATAATTTATTTTCTTTCTTCTTCTTCTTCTTCTTCTTCTTCTTTGTCGTCAAATTATTCCTGTAACAAATGTGCTGTGAATGGACATTAGTTCTTTTTTTTTCCTTCTTTTTTTTAATTTTAATTTTTATTGTATTTTATTATTATTTTTTTTTTTTTTTTTATAATAACAATACGAAACAGTAGTCCAATCTATACTCACACTTGTGAATAATTTACATAGAAAATATTCGTATAATTTTTAAAGGTACAAAATGTCATTTTTAATTGAATCTATTGTTTAATATAAATGTTTATCTAAATAATTATACGTCATTTGAAACAACTCGTTGTATATGAAAAGCTTTTTGTAGAACAAAAAGAGTTGATTATTTAAAAAAAAAAAAAAAAGTCATTTCTATACAATATGCATGAAAGAGAGAAAGAGAGAGAGAGAGAGACTATACTACGTATAAAGGAAACAAAATAATAATAAAAGAAATGAAAGAAATTGTGATAGTGATATTAGGTGAAGGCAAGAGACAATATGGCCTAGAGCGAGGGATTGTATACAAAGCTATTAATGTAGCAAAAAGGGTGAATGATGAAAAGAGGGGTGATGATGACACATGTAATATTTACATGAGAAAAAAAAACATTCAAATAGAAATTAAGTAACTTATGTAACTTGTTAAAGAGTATTCTAAACTGCTGCCATCATGTCAAAAGTAGAGTGGACGACTGCCCCATTCGATCCAAGGTTCCCAAATCAAAATCAAACAAGGTATGACCTCTTTGTTTGTTTTTCTTTTTTCTTTTTTTTTTTTGAATATATGATTGACATTAAAAATAAAATATATATTATTATTATTATTATTATTATTATTATAATGATTTTAATGAATATGTATAGATACTGCTACCAAAGTTACTTGGACTTTCATCGGTGTTCCAAAAAGCACAGCGCAGAACATGAACCTTGTCAGTACTTCAAAAAACTCTACACTTCAATGTGCCCAAATGAATGGGTTGAAAAGTGGGATACACAAGTAGAAGAAGGCACATTTGCTGGAAATATTTAGAAAAGATTGTTATCCATAAATTGTTCCTTCCCCTCTTTTAGTAAATTATTTGCCAATAACAGGATATTAAGAAATCATTTTCTCCTGTTTGTAAAAAAAAAAAAATTAATAATGATTAATTATTAAAAATGAAAATATAAATGTCTATTAATGTGCGTAGATTTTGTTAATACCTTTAAAAAAAAAAACTCCCCCTCCTTTTAATCTTATTTGACAATTATTATTTTCTCTTTTTTTTTCTTTTCTTCATTTAATTTACAGTACATTTGATTTGCATAAAGATACTACCACATGGAGCAGACAAACCAGCATAAAACCTGTCAGTGAAATAAAAAGAAATAGAACGCGAGAGGTTAATGTAGTCTCTCTCTCTAACTTACGCTGAACGGCGCATGCGCATTAGTCTGCTAGTAGGGTATCGTATACGTACGTATATGATAAGCACAAGTCTAATGCGCATGCGCCTGTACCGCATTAGTTAGAGAGAGACAACATCAACCTTTCGTTTTTTACTGCTATATCATGCAAAGACATTTCCACTTACACAACCGCCTATGATTTGTCTCCTCTATCTGTAAATAAATTTCAAAAATGTATTATTATAATTTTTGAATATAAAAATCATTTTATTTTGATACGTTGATTATACTTCCTATTATGATTTAATAATAATAAATGTATATTATAAAAAAAACATTACGTTGTCATACGTTGTCAATAAAAATGGCTGACGTTACTGTTGCATCTATCAAACAATATTCTATTTAATACAATAACAGTTTAATTAAAAAAAATAAAATACGACAAATATGTCTAATAGTTTGAGTGCAATTAATGACAATTATTTATCTGATTCATCAAACGAAGATGATGATGATGATGAAGAAGAAGAAAAAGAAAAAGAAAAAGAAGAACCGAGTAAAACTGGTCTAACGTAATTCGACATTTATTGGTTAGAAAATTTGAATTATTTAAAAATTCAAATAAACAAAATGTAATATTATTTTTTTTAAATAGTTTATCCGTACCTGAAAGTATTCTGTCGTGGAAAGGTGTTCCTCATCATGAAGAAAAAATTGATAATCCGTCAGAACATAATGGAAGAATTAGAAGTTTCAAACATGAACGTGGCAATTGGTCAACGTTGATTTACATTAATTGTAATTGATAGAAATTTTTGCGGGGAAAAATAGTCAAATGTAAAACAGGGATGGCAAATAAGTGGGACACATGTGCTAACCTTGACCTTGATGAGAGTGATGATGATGATTACTCGTTGCATATATGCAAAAGTGCGTGTGATTAATCAAATTTCATTTCAAGGGACAAGTCATTCAATGCAATCATAAATACAAGGTTAATAAGATTATAATTTTGGTACGTAGATCAAATCTTATTTGCCATCACCTAATGTAAAATATAAAATGAAATATTAACAAATCAAATTACAATATGAAAGTTTACATATAATGCTCAAGTATCACAATTTATAAATAATTATTCATTTTAGATACAGCAACGGATGCTATGCTGTCTTGGATAAAATCGATAGAAACTTTATTACCAAAAGAAAGTAATATATTATTAGATCAATTTCATCTTAGTCTTACTCGAACGTTGGTACTTAAATATCACTGGATCGAATCATTTGTTAAAAGTTTGAAAGAATTATGTTCAATGTTAGTAAAATTTCATATCGAGTTTATGGATGTTCAAGTATATTGCAATGAAGAAAGAACTCGTACATTTCTTGCAATTAATTGTTCAAATACTACGTTAAATTATATAATTAATCTTATCAATAATATGCTTGCTGAATATCAGTTACCACCTTATTATGAGGTAAGGTTTAATATTGTTATATCGTTGATTACATGTATAAAATTTGCTGTTACAATAATTTTGTATGTTTTACAGGATCCTTCAAATCATATAAGCATCTTTTGGTGGATAGGTGATAAAGAAGATTGTCTGAATAAAATTCTACCTTCGATCAAATCTAATTTTGATGAATTTTATGTTAATAATACCGAAGATAATTATGTATACGTTGACGAGTTACATTGTAAAATAGGAAACAAACTTTATACATTTCCATTAAAATTAAATGATCATAGATAACTACCTCATTCATATGTAAACGAGTGTAATTCAAAATGTAAAACAGAAAAGAAGCTTTTTTTTTAAAAACATGTAAAAAATATAAATATTAATTGTAACTTAATAACAATAATAATAATAATAATAATAATAATGTACATATGCATAGTTAAATTTACAATCCATTAGAAACTGTATTTATACCATTTTTCATATTTTAACTACGTTGGTTTAAAAATAGTAAGATTGTGGGGTAATTTATGTACAATGCCTCTTCCTTCCCATAAAATTAACCAAGACTGACATATATCAGATATCATGTTAACAATTAATGTACAAACTTCAGGATTCTTTATAGTTATATTTGAATCAGGTGGTTCTGTAATAGTTTTACATCCACTAACATCTATATGTGTTAATGTGGGTCTACGATTCAACAACATATGTACAGATACTGAAGAAATCTTTGAATTACCATTGAATATTATTTTAGTTAAATTTGGTGCTTGTTGAAGTATAATTTTAACATCATTGTCAATAATATCGCAACAGGATAATTCAAGTGATTCTAATGTAATGAAAGACGACATTTTGGAATTTTTGATAACATCCGTGATAAATGAATTTCGCGTTGGATGCAATGTATTTGACAAATTTAAATGTACCAATTGTCTTTGTAAAAAATGACAATCAATGTTATCTCCGTTTAAAAAGTTCCACGATAAATCCAAATTAACGAGATTGTTACTTTCAATGGTAAATTTAAAATGATCTAATTCGCAATGTCGTAAATTCAACGTTTGTAAATTTTTCAATGGTACAATTAATTTATGAAGTATTTCTTCGGAATTAGGTCCCAATGGATTATAACTAAAATCCAATACTCTCAATTGTACTGGTAACTTGTTCAACTTTAATAAACAATTATAATCGATGTCGCATCGTTGCAAATATAATTCTTGCAAAAGTGATAAATTTTCTAAACAATTGGACAAAATGTTACCACTGTTGAGAAATATTCCACCAGATAAATACAGTACTTGTAAATTTTTCTGATATTCCAAAGCTTTGAGCAAAGGTTCAAGTTCCATTTCTTTGCTTTCGTCTGATTTCAGACGAAATACCGAAGTATTGTCACACGATTTAAGACATTTTATCGTTGTCTCTTCTGGCACTAAAAAAAAAAAAATATATATATATATATATATCAAATATTTTTTATAGTACAATTTTACAATTATTAACAATAAAAATAATTAATTTTGTAAATATTACCTAATTGAATGGTCCTGCAAATGGTTTTATACCTCTCCACGATAGATGGTATTTCTATTTTAATGATATCACATTTGAAATATTTAACATTTTCATTATCTTTTAAAATATGTATCACATTATCCGAACAAACTGTACCACCATCCATTGTCTTTAAAACCAACTCCACTATACATCCAGTTTCATCATTGAATTTTTTCTTTGTATCCTCTAAAATGTTTTTTAATATTTCGTTCTTATCTTGATCGAGTAGAATTAATTTTAAATGAAAAATTTTATTCTTTACAGAAATTTGTAGATTAGTTGACATTGTATTATTTGATTGAGACGTGTTATCAAAACTATTCAAACAAATTGGTGAAGGAGTACGAGATATTGAATTTTTCGTAAAACCAGTAGAAAATAGAGATATTTGTTTAGTCTTCTTTTTTCTAAATTGTTTAGGAGAGTTAGGAAGAGGACTAGTTGTTTTACTTGCATTACTATTATCACTGTCTATTAATTCAATATTATCATTTTCTATTTCTTCTTCTTCTTCTTCTTCCTCCTCGTCATCTGAATGAATTTTTGCTCGTTTTGAATATATATTATTTGTCTCCTCGTCATCAATATTGAAATTATTTGATTTTCTCTTATTAGTTACATTGTAACTATCATTTAAACATTTCTTTTTAGAACTAATGCCCATGTCATCTTCTAACCAGTCGTCAACTAAATCTTCTTTGGTATCAACGAAGGGATTAGATATTTTACTTTTATCCTTAGAATTAGTGATAGGTCTTATCAAACTACCTCTGTGTTTTAAACTAGCTATCGTTCTTTTATAATCCTCACCAGCAGATATTTTTTTCACAGTTTCTACTTCCTCGTTATCTGTTTCAACACTTATTAATTTATTATAATCAATTTTCGTAATGGGAGATGGTTTTTTCGTATTTTTTATGCTAACTGGAATCAATGGTAATAATTTGTGATACATAGTCTCGTATTCTGTTAATAAACTTTCTGATAAATCACCAGCACGTTGTTTCCAATTTTCTAAACAATCCAACACCGTATCTCCATCTTTAGTTTTAAGAATAACATTTGCACCATATTTCATTAACAAATTCATCATAGCTAAATTGCCACATGATGCTGCATCGTGTAAAGGTGTAATACCACCGCACAATGATCCACCTGGATCATTAACTTTAGCTCCATTTTTAAGTAACAATTCAGCTATTTCTATATAATCGTGATTAGCAGCTTCATGAAGAGGTGTCCAACCACAGTGATCTCTTACGTTAGTTGGATGTCCCGCTTCTAAAAATTTTTCCACACTTGCTATATTACCTTTGATACAAGCAACGTGAAGTTGTGTTTCTCCTTTCTCATTTCTCCTTACTGCGAGACCACGTTTAAAACGTCGTTTAGTTGTTCCAATATTTTCTTTAGATTTTATTTCATTTTCCACATCTGACAAATCTTCCAAACAAATATCTCCACCGATGTTTATACTTTCTACTTCACTTTCGTTTTCTTCATCATCATCATCATCATCATCATCTATAAGATGATTCGTCAAAGCATTCAATTTATCTTGAATTATTTTTGTAGTATCTTTATCTTCAATTTTTTTCAAATAATGTAAAAAATTTTTCAACACGGATATTTGAAGTTTATTATCATTGGATTGTTCCACCGTGGACAATGCTAATTGAAAAGATTTTTTAATATCATCATCGGATGATGATTTAGTTGCTATTTGTAAGTCGGCTAAGAAGAGTGCAGATCTACAAATTTCACGTGGATCATTACAAAGTTCAAGTTCTTTAACAGCATATTGCAATGCTTCATCGTAACGATCAACATCTCGCAAAGTTTGTGCCAAACTTGTTAAAGCTGCACCTATTTTTTCACTTCCAATATCTTCAGCACATTTTAACATCTCTCGATAATAAACAATCGCTTTTTCAAACGAATTTACAACTATTGCAGCATCTCCTAATGTTTCATACAATTTTAATTTAACAGATATATCATCTTCGATAATTACATTTTCTTCGTTTCTACATATTGTTACCACTACGTCAAAAACAAAATAATATATTTCTATTAAAACAAATATTGCTTCTTACAACAACACCACATTTACAATTAAATAAAAACAAATATATTATGTATAAAAAAGCTTACCAATCCTTAAATATTTCTCAACTTGTTCATTAATGTTATCTGGTAATCCCTTGGTTAAATATAAAGAGACTAATATTTTACGTGAATCAATCCATTTTCCATTTTTCAATAACAATTCTATTTTGGTAAGACGTGCTACAGCTTTTAACGATATATTATTTACATCCGCAGCAGCGTCAAGATGTTGCAATGCTAATTCAGTGTTTCCTTGATTTTCATAAATAGTAGCTAAAGCAATATTGATTCTATGTAAATCTTCATCTAATTTATGTTTTTTACATAATGCAGCTGCCTTTTCTATAAGATCTATTGCTTGTTCAGGTTCTTTCTGAGCTTCTAGTACCAAGCCTAGATTTAAGAGTAATCTTGTACGCATTGTCATCATTTCTTCTAATTTAATATTTGTATTTTCTAATCTGTAAATAGATATACACACACATCAAGTTACATACTACTCACATATATACATAGTTAAACATTAAAAATGTATGAAACATTTCTTACTCATTACAAAGATAAATACTCCTCGTATATGCTTTCTTAGCATCAACTAAAACATCTCTTTTTTTATCTGATTCTTCAGGTAATGTATCAGCAAAACAAAAATATGTTCTTCCTAGTGTAGCAAATGCACGCTGTTCTTCCAACAAATTCTTCACCTTTTTGGCACCCTCTGTTCTAACATATAAATTATATTAATTAGTCACAGTCATATCAAACAATTAATTATTAATATATGTAATATACAAACCAAGATATTCATTGAGATGTATCAGTGCATCTTCATAATTACCAAGACCAGTGTAAGTTTCACCAATCATTCTATGTGCAACTGCAGTATTCAACTCATCGTTTAAAATTTGACAAACTTCTAATTGTTGTTGATATTCTTTTAATGCATCTTCTAATTTTCCAGTTTGATAATACAAATCACCAAGTTCTTTGATAATTTCAGCCAACTGTTGTAAATTTCCATCACGTTTGACACGTTGTTTTCTTTTTATCAGTCCTGATATTAATTAAGAAAATATTTATTAAAATAATACATTTTTGTTATTGTTATTATCATTAGAATAAAGACAATACTTACTATCTTCTTCCATGTTGCATTAAAACTATCTGTCAATAATAAAAGTTAAATACCATCATACATAACCTTACATTTGAACCACGTTTTAATACACACACACACACTGTTTTATATGCACAACACACTATTTTAATATATTTTTATGTTATAATATTAATTAATTAAATTTTGATAATGTTTTCTTATTAATATTATTAAAAAGATTAAATAATTTGATGTTAATTTAAGTAGAATAAATGTAACCAAACGTAAGAGTGATTGAATTGAACAAGTTGTTTTTTTTTTAAAATACGCGCGAAATTTGAATTGACATCTTATCCACCATTTGTTCGCAATGAATAATAATTCGACGAAATAATTATATATTACATTTTCTTTTTCTTAATAATGATCTATTTAATATATATTGTTAATTTAAGTAGAATAAATGTAACCAAACGTAAGAGTGATTGAATTGAACAAGTTGTTTTTTTATAAAATACGCGCGAAATTTGAATTGACATCTTATTCACCATTTGTTCGCAATGAATAATAATTCGACGAAATAATTATATATTACGTTTTTTTTTTTCTTAATAATGGTTTATGTAATATATATGTTGGTAAATGAGAAAAAGTGTGAAGAAAAAACACATGTCTGTTATTTTTTTTCCTTTTTCCTTTTTTTTTTTTTCGTACGATATACACATCGACTCTTTTGGCAACTTTATTCTTTCGCATTATCGAAACTTCACACACAGGCATATCTTTATGGTTGTAATATTTATATACACGTACATACACATACAATATATCACGATAAGAAATAAAAAACGTTCTAAAAGTTATAAATAAATAATTAAAAAAAATAATAATAATAAGAAAATAAGAAACGTAGAACAAACTGAAGAAAAGTCCTGTTCTCTTTTTTTTTATAGTCTTCATTGTCCTTGTCATTTCTAGACGATAATTGTTCCATAATTAATGAATTAATTAATTTATATATATATATATAAATATTTTATATTAATGATAATTAATATAACATTCACTCTTGTATTTTGAATTATGTGTAATTTCAATTCTTTTATTTGATATTTTTTGTCTTTCCACTTGACCAGCACTGTTTTCAGCTAATTTATTATAATTTGTTTTCAATTATAATAATAATCAACAATCTTTCATTTATTATTATATAATTTCTTTGTAATTAACATTAACAAATTGATGAAAATAACGTAGCAGTCAGTTAAAATCTAAAATGAAACATATTTCCTCATTTATCTTACGATTGTAATTAATTTAAACATGGCGGCGGTACTCGATTATTTCGCGCGTCTTTTGAATTTGCCATTATAACATTAAATATCATCAGGCTTATTTGAAAAAGGTATCGTCTTAAAATAATCAAAATTATAATGATTCATGCATTATGTATTACAGACTAGGCAAAAATAATGATTTCAAATTTCGAAATAATGACACATAGAGTTCGACGTTCCTTAAATTTCAATAGTTTTAACAACGCGAGTCATTATACTTATTGTTTTATTTCTTTTTCAATGAATATAATATAATACCACGTAACTCTAAATATAAGCAGAATATTTGAAATACATTTTAAGCGTAAGGATTATTATTCGTGAGTTACTTTGACGAATACTTTATTTGTTATATTAATAATATATTTAACGTCATAATTTGATAAAATTTTTTCTTCTTCCATTTTGTTTCTTTTTGATTTTTTTTTTTTTTTAAATAATAATAAATTCGATTAAGATAGAAATATATTTTTAATATAAAAAGATTCTTTCAATCATTGATGATAAAAAAAAAAAAAAAGAAAAAATTCAACAAAAACAATTTGTCAAATATATTAATAAATAACAATTTTTTTTTTTCAATGGTAAAATATTTGTCAAAAAAGATAACGATAATTAATAAACGAATTGAATCAATTAAATAATATTTTTTGTAAGCAAATCATTTTTTTTTTTTTTTAAATAAAAAATAATGGGATTATCAATCTGTACAATTATTGTGTTGTTGTTGTTTTTCTCTCTCTCATACAATTTAAGTACAGTCATTACCATAGAGAACACTATTATAATTATTACTATTATTATTTATTATTTATTATTAATATTACTATTGTAATGATAATCAATTAAATGAATTTCTAGATAAAGTATGCAAATATAAATTAATATTTATATAATATTCTCACTAATAAAATGAACAATTATATCACGTACAATGAATACACATATACATATACTATATATATATATATATATA